ATGGCAATGGCCCTCGGAGAGCCAGCGGAGCGTCATTTCTCTACTTAACCATCAATATCACAATACACCTACTTTGTAATCTTACAATAATCAAAGAGCCAGCGAAGCCTCATCCAATCACTCACTGACAATTCCAACAGCCCCCAAACTCCAGGAAATCCCCATCTCCTTCTAACACGTATCAGATTCGAGAAGATCTATATATCTTGGTGGTGTGGTCTGTTAAATAGATGACACAACACGAACCCCTTATTACTTTTCGTTACATTTCTTTACCCCCTCGTTACACAATTGCACGTGCTTCATCTCCAGTGGAAGATTGTACCACATTTAGGTAGTATGTATGATGAGGACTGTCAATGTGTGTTACATTTTTATCCTTGATTCAACCTTCTACCGTTAAAATCGAAAAATGATGTCAAATAAAAGTCATAGCAAACCCAAGTACTCGTAATGCCAATAGTAGTATCATGTAATCTCCAAGCTCACTCGTTGATGCAACATCTTTCATCACATATCACTACACTTCAAATACAGAATATGGAATCTGCCCAAGAGTTTGATAGGTAGATAGATATGCATGCCTATTCCACTGTACCATCTCGCAGTTGTTGTTCCACGAAATGTTAGCCAACCGATGCTATGTAAGGTTTTTGACGCGGAGAAAAACAATGAGAAACACATTCATGTCATACTTATCGCCATGTCAAATCGAACCCTATTCTATTCCATAGGTAGAAGTGAGCCATTCATAATCACAATGACATAGAAAGGCACACACAGTGATTGAAAAGTCATATACAAGTCCTAATTACTACTCTTTAACTTATAGCTTAAAGAATAACTTCCCCAATGTATCATATCATACAAATATAGTAATCGCACCGCATCGCACCAAATAACATAAGAGAAAAATATTGTATACCATGCAACACCTAGGTAAAGGTATACAAGTTGTGGTATCTCGTCCATCCGTACTCCATTTTCACACCTTTCATAACACCATAGTCATCATAATACAACCAAAACCAAAACCGGTCTTTCCAAAACAAATGAAAAGAACCCTATTCCGTACCTCCAATTGTCAAAACGAAATCCTCTTCATCCTCATCGAATTTAATCAAACACTCTGGCAAACCACATTTCAAAGCTGGTTCCAAGTCCTCATCGTCAACCTCAAAGGCACTCAAGAAATCCAGTTTCTTGTACTCTGGATTCGACACATTTTCTTTCTGGGCAAAACGGGCGGGAGTAATGGTACTATCTGAGTCATGGGAAAGATTGCTAGTCGAGCGAGGTAAAGTATTTGTTCTCTTCAATGTGAGAGGTGGAGCATCCTTCTTTTGAAGAACGTTAGAAGCTGATCTACCTTTGGTATAACCAATGGTACTTCTAGATGTGGCTGTGGCAGCTGTGGCACGCATAGTGTTATTTGTGACAGGAGCAAACGTTGGTGTCTTTCTACCTCTCAAAAGTGATGAAGTTGGTCTTGGAATAGCTGTTGATGGTCTCTTGTAAGGCTCCATTGCAGATCTTGGGAGAGTTGATAAAGCGGATGCTGCTCGACGAGATGCGATTGCTGAAGGACCTCTGGTTGAGATGGGAGCCTTTGTTTTCTGCTCTGTGGCGACTGTAGCCTTGGTTTGCTTCGATGATGCTTTCCTTTTCAAATTCTTGAATGTTTCAGGGACATCACCAACAGTCCAATCCTCTTCCATTGATGCCATGATTTGCGCATCCGTCTTCTTCGCGCGCTCAACTGAAGACATTTCCAAATCCCGCTCGAGTTTTGATCTTCCAGTCTTATCGTTGGTGTTATAGAATTCGCCAAGCGCTCCCTTGGTAAGGTTTTCTGGCTTGAGCATATCGTAGTTGAGACAACCAGTAGGGAAGGTATCTGAGTCATATGGTAGATCCTTGGATCTTGGTGGCATATATTCGACTTCAACATCATCTAGAGGATTCTCATCTCCATGTACATCGATCTTAATCTTCTCCGAAACCTTATGCTTGGGTCTGCGAGCACTCGTTTGTTTTGATACAGTCTTTTCGAGGTCCTTCTCAGGTGCGGGACCGACGGGAGTTTGGAATACTTTGGTTTTCGCATTCGTAGTCTTCATACCAAGGGGAGCTCGATTTCGAGGACCTATGATAAATTAGATATTGATCCTACCATTATGCAATGGAAAATTCTTACCCACGGGTGTAACAAAAGCATTCTTATCAAAGGTTGCATCTTTTCCGCCTAAACCTTTGCTTTTTGTGCCGAGTACAGATCCCTTCCCACCGAATCCTCCTGGCGCGTTCTCGTCATTCAATGGAACCTTCAACGGTGTCTTTGGGAATTTATTTCCTGGCGTCTTTGGTTGTAAACTTCTGGTGCCTTGATTGAGGGGTTTAGAGGCAGCGACTTGTTGATGACCATGGATCAAATTCTCTTGATCCCTAGCTGCAAACATGTTGACCAATTATCCTGTGCAATGATGGTTAATGTGATTTATCTTGAGAATGTGTGTTACATTAGAATGTATTATGAAGTGGTTGTGTTTGTCGACATATATGTAAATTTCGTTTTACAGAGTAACATTCATTTATTTTGATTTGTTTCTACGGCAACTCTGTCAAACCCAGAGCTCTTCCCATTTTTGATTATACAGCCCCGTGAGCCCCTTGCTCACAGACCAACCATTCACCCCTGTTTATGTTCGGTTGGCAATAATACTCTCTTTGGTCTCTCACCCTTTACCTACCATCTGCAACATCTCAAACAGTCGCAACTTCTTCAACTTCTTTCATACCATCAACATCAACCATAAAGATATTCTTTGTTATATCAAATCTTTCTAAATTCAACCTCACCAAACCGTGTTAACCAACAAATAACCCTTCAAAATGGATCGCATCAAGGAAGTAAGTAAGATCAACGAAACTAACCCCGCCATTCGTCCCTCCAGTCTACGAAATTCCCCTTTCCATCCGGATACGATCGCCGACACTGCTTTGGAATGATTCTGAAGGAAAGATGCTGATTTCCATCTTGATAGAAAATGAACACCCTCCGTATCGAGGCCGATGAAGCTACCGCAAAGGTTCAAGAGCTTCAAGAAAAGGTCAAGCTTCTTGAGCAAGAGAACCTCCAAAAGGAGCAAGAAATCACATCCCTTACACACAAGAACAACTTGTTGGAAACCGAAGTTGAGAAGTTAGAAAGCGGGATTAAGGAGGCCAAGGCTGTGGCAGAGGAAGGTAGTCAACACGGTACACAGAACGAGACTCTTCAACGAAGATTACAACTTTTGGAGGAGGAAGCTGAGGAAGCTGATAAGAACCTCCGCGAGACAAATGACAAGTAAGTGATTGAAATATCGGAATTCCTACAAGAATAGGGGGTTGCTTCATAAGTTTTGCACATGTGCACATCTTGATATCCACAGTAATATGAACTGACCTTTGTGTGTCTTAGACTCCGTCAAACCGATGTTAAGGCCGGTCACTTCGAACGTAAGGTCCAGGCTCTCGAGCAAGATCGTGATCAATGGGAGGCAAAGTTCGAGGAGATGGCCAAGAAGTATGCTACTGTGCAAAAGGAATTGGAGGACTTCCAAGCAGAGATTGGCAACATTTAAATTGGGGTTTATGTCACAGTCGACATTCTGTTCTAGAGCTTTTTAGGTGCATGGGTTGCGGAATAATTACAGTTAAGCCTCGTATGCGCTGGCGGTGGTACGCTGTTTTTACATGATTTGCTTCTCGATCGATATCGAAGTCACATACCAAATATTACTGCGGGTTCTGATTGTGAAGTTGTTAATAGATTCCATTTTAATTATTACCTCGTCGCGCATCTGCTGCTGCTCTACTCCCAGACTTTTGTTTTTGTCTCGTCATTTTCCTCTCCGCCTTGGTCTCATATGTAAACTTCTTCTTCCGTGGTTTCTTGGGCCAAATCTTCTTGACCTTCTCTTCTTCTTTTATGACCTTCCCCTTTGCCTCGTGTATACCATCATCACTATCCTCTTCATCCGCAGTTCTCTTGATTCCATCTTTCGATATTTCTATCCCTTCGACTGTGACCGTTGTGTATTTATCTTCATCGATATATTCCTCTTCGTGATCTACCAACTCTGGCGCTTCCTCCTCGGCTTCTTCTTCCTCTATCCCTCCCCATTCATCCCCGTCTCCGCCATCAAATCTCTCCTCCACATCCTCTAATAGCGCATTCACGGCTTTAACATGCTCATTTAACTCTGCTCTTCTTTCCTCTCGTAACTAAACATCAATAGATTAACCAATGATCCTTCCCAAAGCATCAAACAACAAACCTGTTTCCTCATGACAATTCTCTCCTCTCTCGCCTTCTTCTCCGCCTCCTCTTGAGCTCTCTTCGCTCTCTGAACCTTTCGTTTGTGAAATCCAGTTAAATAATCCTCGCGAGCACTTAAATCGAAATTGATTTCTTCAATCTTATGGTCGAACTTTCTCTTCTTTTTGTGCGCTGGTAGGACTGATCGCTTGGGACGAGGTTTGACTATGAATGAGGATTCCATGGTGATTGATTTGTGAGGGGGATGACTTGCGGCGCACTTGGAATTGGATGTCTTTTCGTGATGAATTTAATATAATCCTGGGGAAGGAATAATTTGGGCAGTAAGATCTTACCGCCTTGGCTTAGTCAGTGGAGTATGAGAATGTTGTGAACTAGGACGGTGGTGGTGGATAGTTGTTCCTAATTAATTGGAACATAAACTACTCTATATATATGTGTGTATTGTAAGTCTCCAATGTTTTAGAGATCAGCGGAGATTGGGGCTTTGAATTATAAAAAGATTTGAGAATTGAAGTTATTCAATTGAACCTAAATCATGAAATGTTGATAGATATCAAGCTGCTTACATAATCGTACAGAGAGCTCAAGGTTGCACTTATTGAAGCTTAATGAAACAGCTTCATCAACAAGATCATCTCGCACGCATCACAACTTTCCAACCACAGAAGTCAAGATGCGGTATTCGATTGCTGGATCGCTATTATGCTGCGCCGCTGCAGTGCAAGCGTTTAAAGATACATCACCTTTCTTTTTATTCTCATCATCGGAGTGAGTTATACTTCCAACTACCCGCTCATCGCCATGTAGTTACTAACACGAGAATGGCAGATTACCTTCTTCGATGCAAATTGAGAGTCAAGAATTAGATACCACGACATCAGTCCTTCAGAATGCCAAGAACTTCCTTTCGACTTGCCCCTCTGATGTCTACATTATTATCCAACAAGATGCACTCGCCGCCTCTGACTTCTCGGCCCCAGAATCCGTTCCTCATATGAAAGCCGCTATTGCCGATTCGAGAGTTCGAGCTACTTATAGCGTTATGGATGTCATGCACGAAGATGGAAATCTGGCTGGCGAATTAGCAGAATATATTGAGAAGACATGCGGCCAGAAAGTCGAACGACGTGGAAATGTTGGTTATGAGTCTACTGATGGAACTGGAAACGGTGTCATTGTATCACACTTCGACGCATTGTCGACTGAGAAAGCAGCAAGAGCTGAGGAATTCAATGACCAAGGTTTGTGCTCGTTCGAACCATCAGGCAAGATTCACGACTAACTCATGCGTAGATTACATGCTCAACAATGTTTACTACCAACATCTCGCCACTGGTCCAGAATACACCGTCATTTTTACCACCACACCTGTTGGCTCTGTTCTCGAACAACACAATTCCGAATTACCAATTTATAATGCGGAGTTTGACTCCACTTCCCATATCGATTTGAAGCGAGATTTCAGAATCAGAGCAGACAATTCAACCACGGAACCAGATCGTAGACCACTATTCGAGAAATATCAATACTTCACTCCTGGTATTTTCATGGGTTTGGTGGTTGGCATCCTCCTTCTTAGTATCTTGTACGTGGGATTGAACGCAGTATCCAGTCTTCAAGTTTCATATGGAGCATTTGATAAGGAGATGGGACCATCTGCGCAAAAGAAACAGCAGTAATTTCTGGGTGGAGGAATGAGAGAGAGGAAAGATTGATTGTGGAAAGGAAAGGGATGGATGGTTTGGAATTGGAGTTTTTGCGAAGTAAAGCTAGTGTATGATTTTGTATGTATAAAGTATGCATGGGTATTCAATAAATGGTATGGAATTTTTAAACTTGCTTTTCTCCGTTTTTCTTGTGATGAATGGGGTGTCAGAAATACATAGAGAAGTTGAAGTGTTTTGCTTTCTTTCTTTCTTTCTTTCTTTCTTTCTTTCTTTCTTTCTTTCTTTCTTTCTTTCTTTCTTTCTTTCTTTCTTTCTTTCTTTCTTTCTTTCTTCTTTCTTTCTTTCTTTCTTCTTTCTTTCTTTCTTTCTTTCTTTCTTTCTTTCTTTCTTTCTTTCTTTCTTTCTTTCTTGCTTTCTTTCTTGCTTTCTTGCTTGCTTTCTTGCTTGCTCTTCATTTCGTATGTGTGGATTGAAAATTCTAAATGTTTCCTTTTCTATCCTGAAGTATAATAGAAGATGATGTGAATATCGACTAGTGTCAGTGTCAGTCAGTCATGCATGAGTGAAGTGAAGCATCTTAGGATTTCTCTACCTAGTAGCATACATATCCTACATATCCCATATCTCACTTCTGCATCCAGTGTGGATTTTTAAGTGTGAACTCCTTTTTTTGTATCTTGTGTTTTGTATCTTGAATGGTGTTGATATTGATTTTGATTGGGGGATTGGATTGAGGGAGGGATTGAGGATTGGATTGAGGGGGGGGTGGAGGAGTGGAGGAGTGTATGGAAAGTTGGGAAGTTGGAAAGTAGATTGTTTGTTCGGGGTGTGTGTGTTTTTTGGAGGAGGGGAGAGACGGGGGAATGGGAGATGGGGAATGGGAGGAGGGGTGAGGGATGAAAGCAAGATACTGAGGTGGTAAGGAGTCAGGACTAGTTTTAGTATTCTGGAGTCTGAATGTTTGGAGGTTTGGAGGTTGGAGGTTGGATTGAACGTGAGCTATGAACACGCCAATTGTGAATAAAGCAAAACTGTAGTTGCCTACCTTACTTGTTGATTGATTAATCAGTTATTAGCCTCCTGAAGAGAAGTTGTGGAGATAGGAGCGAGATACTTTGAGTTAGGATGTAATAGAAAGAAGGGATGAAAAGAAGCGGGCGAGAAGAGAAGGGGGAGAGGGGGGGAGAGGGGTGAGGTGATATGAAGGTCTAAGGTTGGATGCTTTAGGGGGTGTAATTGGATTGGTATGTACGTATGTATGTATGTAGGTATTGTATGTATTAGATTTGTGGGAAGAAGATGAGTTTGATGCGATGCGATGCGATGCAATTCGATTCTGATTTTGAGGATGGGGATGGGGATAGAGATAGAGATATATATTTAGTACTTAATAAAGCAAAATCGAAATAGTAGACGATGATACAAATGAAGATGCGATGTCAATTTGAACGAAACTTGCCCGAGATAAAACCGGAGCTAGATATAGAGATAGATATAAGTATAGCTATAGGGGTGTTAGCGAGTAGGTGTTTGTTGTTTTATGGTGGAAGGATGGATGGGTATATATATACAGAAGAGTCACATAACATGAGAATACATTCTTACCACAGAGTATGATATTTAATGGGATCTGTGTATGTATATAATGTCTTGAGGAACGGTAGAAGGTGAAGTTGATTTTGATTGACCTCTGATTTTTAATTTTTGATACCAGAGTTTCTTGGGTGGAGAAGAGCAAGAGGGAGGGTAAGAGGAGGGACAGCTATCTATATTATATGATATGGCGGCATTGAATTATGAGGGAAGGAGAATGAAGAGAAAAAGAGAAAGAAAGAAGAGAGAAGACTCGCGGATAATGGGTATAGGATATAATAAAACGCTGAGCTTAATGTACTGAGATGAAGATGTATAAAAATAGAGTAAGATGAGGATAAGATGGCCAGTTTGGAGAGGATTCTTTGGTGTCTTTTTGGGGAGGGACAGCAATCTAGGTGTCTCAAAACAGGAAGATAATCGACGTTAAGATTTGGAGGGGGGAGGATCTTATTTTGTAAGCTGAGGAGTAGATGTTAAGCAAAGTGGTAGTTTTGTAATGTATCGAGCGATCTAGATGTGATGCTGTGACTCTGGTGATGAAGGTTGACATTCGCTTGAATGCCTAGAGAAGGTAAGATATGATATCTTTATGATGAAACTACCCATATAACGGTAAACACGATCTCTAGGGATTTTGATATCAGCCATCGAATGAATGTGTACAGCACGAGCACGAGTTTTCATGTTAAATAGTATTTCATAAAACTATACATCTGAAAATACATAAAATTCGGGACACTCAAGTATATATGAGGTTCTATACAATTTCCCCAAGCCATTCCCAATATCTTTGAAGAATTTTGATTCCCTTTTCCTGAACGCCAGACTTCCGGATATGCATTACCCAAACTACCACGATCCTGTCATCTTGATAAAGACTCTACTTCTCTGGAGCATCTGGTAATCTCTCAATGACATACTTTCCTCTTGCCACACTCATAATGGCACACCAGGAAACCTTTCTAATTCTTCTCTTTCAATTCCCTATCGTTCGTTGCCACAATATAAATCTGTGCTTTCTGTACTCTGTCCACGATACAATCATCTGCATAAACACCCTTATGATCACATTGTAATCTTTGCCATCTCTCATCACGCGCAATTCGCAGAGCGATACGATATCTTGGACCAAGTTTTTCCAATTCGGCCATGACGCAGGATGTAATGATAGGAATACATTTAGCGTAGAGACAATCCATGAGAGTTTCCAGAAGAGGAAGTTTGCGTTGAACGGTATGAGAGAGGAAATTGGTATCAATGAGGATCGAATATGGAGGGACGAGAGCTTCGTTGTATTGAAAGAAAAGAGCGGATGAGACTTGAGGTCTAGATATGATACGTCATTAGTTAATGAATTGTGCGAATGTGGAAGGGATAGCATACGCTTCTCGAACAAGTTCCTTGGGTTTATTGGCTCCTTCTTCTCCTTTATCTTTATTTTCCTTTAGACGCGCATCTCGTTGTCCGATGACTCGTTTGACCTGAGGGGAGGAGGGGAAATGTAAGTAAGATGGATTAATCGATAAGAGGTGTGTGAGATGGAAGAAAGAATACTTTACAGCACCAAAATTTGCGGGTTTTAGCTGCTTTACCCATTGTTTTTAAACGATTTTGAATATATGCGCGATCAATTACTATATGGTTGTGTAGGTTGCGACACAAGATGGAATTTTGGGTAAGTCGATGGAGGTATGTTCTCGATAAGTATCTACGACAATCAAGCAAAAATGATAAATTTCGGTAATTTTGCCAAAATGTTCTTTTCACGCCTTGAAGACGAGGGAGCTAGATACCCTCTAGTCTAATAATTCATTTTACCTTTTACCTTGAAACACGTGCTGCTGAGGATTACCTAAGTAACTGTTGCCCCTAGTAACTCTTAAATAACTATTTATAGGTTGATGGAGCAGATCAAGCGGTTAGTTTACATTTTATCCATAATTTGGTAATTTTACTAATCCATTTTAAGGAATTTGAATTAACTTCTGTCTACCTACGATAGGTAAGTCATGTCATGTGTCATGTATATTTCTTGACTGGGGAATGTAGGAACACGAATAGAGGAGAGAGGAAAGAGGCAAGAGGGAGAGAGAGGTCAGGAAGAAGAAAGGAAGAGCCAATAATATGTACAAGTAACCCAGGTAGGCAAAGCAAAATACGAGAATTACATAATCAAAATAAGATCATTTGAGTTGGTTGAATTCTTCTTCTTCTTATTGACTGTGAATGCCCAGGTGAGTACAACCACCACTACATCTACAATTACAGCCACAAACTCAACAAATCTTTGAATAACTTCATTTATTCAAGATTCAATATTCCTTCCTTGCTTTTCTTCCATTCGTTATCGCATTCTCATTGCTGTTATATCGGTCACGGTTTGGATCCTCTGGTCATTAATTCTTCACCACTCATCCTTCTTTGCATAACATCAAACCTACCCCATAGATTTGGATACCCTTGTAAACATTAATTACTGTCCACCAGTCTGTTCCACTACTGAAATCGCGGAGTCATTCTCAACCATCAATTTCCTGCTGCACAACGACAAACTTAACGTCGTGATCGACTTTGGAAGGATCCTTGCGACCAGAGAACCATTCTAGAACTGGGAATTCAATCAAGATTCGACTTGTCGGAGGAGGATTCGAAGCAAACATACCTCGATTTTCAAATCATTTCCCGGAGGAACGCAATTCTTCAATCGGTCGGTCGCTGCGACAACATTCGATTCAGTTGGAGTGTATAATCCCACCTTTCCATCACGAGTACCGACGATTCCTTTTCGAATACGACGTACATACAATATACACAAAATGCGATTCAATAAATCAGTGGCATCTGCTGCTTTTGCAGTTTCATTATTTGTCATGCCAATCATGGCAGCAACTACCACAACAGCGGCTACAACAGCGACTTCAGAATTACCCAATCTTTCCAGTGTGGCAGCTTCGGAATCTTCAGCCGCTGCAGCCTCAACGAAAACCACAACCTCCAGTGACACAGCTTCGACAACAGCGCAATCGATTGCCGTAATTACAGGTGGATCTACTTCAACGGGTAAAGGAACCTCAACTTCCGCTTTACCAACATTGGCTGGAGCATACACAATTCCAACGGCTGCTGTCCCTCCAACCTCAAATGCACCATTTATGAAAGAATCAAGGTATCCCGAAGGTACGGTTTTTATTGCAGTAGGCGCAGTCCTTGGATTCATGGCCCTATCGGTTTTGTTTTGGCGTGTGATGGTCGCTTGGGCGTTACATAGATCAGTCAAACGCGCAGCTAGACAACCGAGCCATGTGGATAAAAAGCAATTGTTTCAAGCTCCACCAGCACCATTTTACAAATATGCCGATAAGGATTCAACTCTTTCACTAGGAGGAGGTGGATTGGGGGGAAAAAGTGGGAAGAAGAGGCCAACCACTGCTAACGCACCACCATCTCAGACATCTTTATTCTTTAGTCCTACAGCTCTCGCCGGTGGAAACAACCCAGGAAATCGTGCTTCGAGTTATCTTCCAGCAGGTTATTATGCAGCAGGAAATGCACTTCCAGGAGCATATCCAGGTGATAGACAAAGTATTAATATGTCAAATCTCACTCCACAAGGATATGCAAGAGGAAATCAATCTCCACCTGGTAGTCCCGGTCATAATACTCATTCCGAGTCCAGTACCTTGGAATTAAGACATAATGATGGAAATGTTAGAGCGCCGAGTGCTTATTTGCAAGATCTTTTTGATGGAGATAATCCACATGATGCACCTCAACAAGGACGTGATAGAAGATCAACTCGTTATTAATCGGGATGAGAAGAGGAACAAGTTTGATTTTGGGAGTGGTTACATTGCTCAGCACCAACTTTTGTACAATGCGATTGGATTGGATTGGATTGATCAGGGGCGTTCTTTGAATACATGCATGCATAAAACATGAAGAGTTGGTTTACTACTTTACAATTAGGGGATTTGGTTTAATGCTTTTAGGGTAGTTGGTGGTTGTTATAATGAATGTTGTGATGCGTATTTGCGTGAGTGATTGGAGCGGAGCGTAGCGTGTTTTTGAGAATGCCTTGGTTATTTGTGGTTGATTGTCTATTGCAAATGTATTGGGGAACGGAGGAGGCATTTTGTATAGACGAGGGGTGGATCTGGAATGGGGGTGGATAGCAACGAGATGGGGCTGCTCGTTGACTTGTATATAGACGAATTGATACGATAGCGAAGCGAAATGAAGTTTTGAGGTTTTGAAGTTTTTGGATGAGGAATTGATTGTTGTGATATAGATGCAGGTAGCAAGTCGTTGCAAGTCGTTGCAAGCGTAACGGAGTGGGTAAAGAGCGAAGGATAGATAGATGAAGAAAGTTCAGAAGTATGTATGATGTTTGATATCTGGTAATCGATAATGAATGGATGAGGTTTAGGGTTTGAATGGCGGATGGATGGATGGAGGGATGGAGGGATGGAGGGATGGAGGGATGGAGGGATGGAGGGATGGTTGAATAGGTAGGTAGGTAGGTAGGTATGTGATAATTCAATGGTGTATGTTCAATTCCAAGCAGAAAAATCACTGGACGGAGTGGATGGATGGGAGCTATCTATGCTTGTTAGATCGTTGGATTGTTGAATTCAGTGTAAAGGTGGAGGTTTGATAGGGGTTAGTTGGAGTTAGTTGGGCTTTAGGGGCTGGAGGTAGAGGGAGAGGGGAGGGGAGAGAGGGGGATAGAGGGATTGTGCTTGATTGTAAGATCCGTTCGTGTAGAGGGGCAAGGAGGGAGGAAGGAGAGAGAAATGGGGAGGAAGAAATAATTATTGTTGAGTGGATGTATTTTCAGCTTATCAAATTTAAAGGGTTGATAGGGTTTAGAGGTTGGGGGATTGAGGATAGAGGATGCGAGAGGGAGAGGGAGAGTTGATGTTGGATTGTATTATTACTTTTTAGGTCTTTTTTTGTAGAGGGAGGGGAGAGGAAAGAATGGGAGGGGGAGAAGGGAGAAGAAGGGGAAGAGAAACAACTATTAAGGATGGTCAGGCAGGGAGTGGGGAGAGTAAGCAACTTTTGTTGAGGGAGGGCGGCGAGGGTAAGACTGGTGGTATTTCTAGATAAGGGGAATTGGGTTGTGGTGTTGTGTATTAGGTCTTTATGTGTGGAGGGGGAGAGAAAAGGGGAATATACAACTATCAAGGATGGTAGGGGCAGGAGGAAACGCAAAGGACTTTTATTAAGGAAAAAGGCAGCGGAAGTAAGACTGGTGGTATAGTTACAGGAAACATAGAAGCGCACTTGAGGTTGCAGAGAGGTATTCAGAATTCAAAATTCTAGATTCTAGATTCTAGACTTGAAGTGATCTAATTTCGCTTAATATGTATAGCGACGAGGTATGAAAGGTTGAAAATACTAAATCTCAAAGGACTTCTTTTCAGTACAAGAGAAGCAAGTCTTGGTGGACCAGCATTGATCATTCATGTTGATCCAAAGTTGTTTATCATGCTTTTCTTGTTATTATCATGTCGTTGCTCGGATTTGAATAAATAAATAATACCAATTAGTTCTCATCACCATGCTGATGAGCTTGGGAAAATTTCAACACTTACAAATTACTTCTGCTTGACACTTGACAGATTAAAATACATCCACGAATACTCTATCCTGCAACAATTAATACAGCTTGGTACTCGATTTAAATACATATCCAGCATTTTTTGAATACATTGATAGCGGCTTCTTCTGTACTTGAAAGTTACAACTGCACAACCAATCGGACAAAATGCCTCCCACTTCCATTACAATCATGGACAACCCCTTCCCACCACCAAAACCAACACATTTGGGCGAAATTGATCGTCTTCCTGCTACCATAGAGGACTTTTGCACCGCCATTGGACTCGGCCACGACATCCAAAACTGCGAGCGTCGAGGAGGGGGAAACAACAAGGTTGTTATGTTTTCCTACATGCCCTTTACATCTTCCGATCCAACCCATGCTCCACCATCGGATACTCGACAGCACTGTATCTTGCGAACGGAACAGATCATTTTCACCAATCCTCTCGACGCGGAATGCGTAGAGACGAAAAGAATCGTCGCACTTGCGTAGGCCTGTGGAGAAGCAGAACCCCATCCATCTCAGCTTCCTATTCCTGCGATTTTGGCGTATGATGAGTCGTATGATAATATTATTGGCTGTCCGTACATTGTACAGCGAAAAGCAGCAGGGAAAGACCTGGCAGAATGGTATGAACTGCTCAATGTCCCTGGTTCCGCTACGGAACAGTATCATCTGAAGGAAAGAATGAGAGTTGCGGAGGAAATGGCGAAGTTTCTTGCGAGTGTGGAGAAAAATTTCCAGGATACGGAGTATGGATTGTTGGTTAATAGATTGGGTATGTTGGGGAAGAGCGTGGAGGGCTTGGAAAAGGAAACGCAGATGGGTATTAACCCTCGTACTGTGGGTGATGTGTGGATTCCGGGAAATGTGCAGCATGATGTATTCATTGAGGGTTTGATCAATGCTGGCCTTCAGGCTGCGGGTGAGAAATTGGGTTTTTTGTCAGCTAAGTATAAAGATTTGGTGAAGTTGAGCAGGATCTTTCAGGAGATGAGAGATGAGGGACTTATGGATCGCTTCAGTGGAGTGACTACGCTTGGCATCCGGATCTGTATCCGCGGAACGTTGTTTTCGATCGTGTTGATGCTGGTGAGGGAATGGGGCGAGAGATGAAGTTAACGGCGGTCATTGATTGGGATGGTGCACTGGTGGTGAGTTCTCCATAAACCAGTGCCAGAATGAACTAACCTTTATTTATCTAGCTCCCACGATACATGATACGCAAACCATTGAAGTGGATCTGGACACGCAATTGTCTTCCTGAAGAATTGCAAATAGTTATTAAAGAACATTTTTATAGTTGTATGGAGAGTTTGGTTCCGGGATATAGAGGGGAGGCTGAGGGAAGAGAGGCGAGAGTTATGAGGGCAGTGTTTGCGTATGCGTTTTGGGGAACGGGGTATAGATATCACTCGGAACTTTCATTTCGGGGGTTGCTGAGGGAGTGGGAGAGGATGGGAAGAGGATGGGAGAGGAATAGATGTTCTGAGGGGGGGGTGGTGGTTTGGATGATGGAGTATGGAGGAGGGAGGAGGAGGAGGGAGGAGGGGGGTGAGGAGATGTTTTGAGGGGGATGTGGTGTGGAGGATGGGGTCGTACTATCTCATTCTGGTGGTGGCAGACACTAAGAAAATAAGTCTGAAGGAGAGGAATAGTTACTTGACGTATTGGCATGATGTTAAATTCTCGTACCTAAGTTTGTGGTTCCAAAGAAGATACGAAATATCAATGTATTCCCGAATTTCAATTCTCTATCAAGACTCGAGTATTGAGAGTCTGTTCCTCGAGTCAAATGCCAATACATGGGTTCATGAAGAGATTAGAAAAGTATATTCCAGAGACAAATGATAGATATTGTGGGGGTAATAGCTCTCATATGTTTTCCATGTCTTTCATAAATCTGTCACTGCCGTAACACAGGGCTTCGGTCTATTCTTCCCACTAGTTCAAGAACTATTTACATTTATTGCTTCTAGTATTCAAGACTATGAGATAAAGTAGAGTTTAGATTCGGCTGACCTGCAAGTGCAAAGGTGGCTTTAATTTGTGGTTCCAACGTGTGTGAAATCTAGGTCTATATAAACTTGTTTGAGTACCTGTTGTATTAAGTTGTCATCTATATTTTCTAACTGAATCCAATGGTATCTCACATTTTATTCATTCAGAAGTGTTATCTGTACGAGTAGGTGGTGTTTGTAGGAATGAGAGGAGAAATTTTGAACACGCACAAAAGAACTCTCTGGCTTGCGGGAATGCAGTGATTGATAGATTCCTGAACTATTCAAGGAGATCGTCTTGATTCTGTATATTCTAATGTTTTTTCTTCATTGGTCGACTTGCACATCTGGAAGCTCTCGCGCTTTTGGAAATGATGTCGAGGAAGAATGAAAGAATCTCACTGTCTGATCACTTCAGAATAATGTATAAGTGTCTAATAGATGAGGATATGAAGAAGCTGTGACTTGGAAGATTCTCAAAAGAATTTGACCTACTTAGATAGCCTCGAGTTTGAAAGATCAAAGTCTATGTACACTCGTAAAGCCTGCCGATTTGGAAACTATTCTCAGACCTGGGTACAAGATAAAATAATTCAGACTTATAGGAAGATGACTCTAAGAAAGGATTGCATTTGCTTGAATGACATGTAGACTGTCCGCCTGTTCCTCATAATGCATGGATCTGCATCAATTTTCAAAAATCTTTTAACTATTTGTTACACAAAATTCCAACCCATCGTTCCCGGCTGGGTATTAAAATTAACCACCCTCACCCGTTCCTGAATGCAACTTCCTAAATTCATCTCAGTCCACTATCTCTGTAATTCAATCCCCTCTTCTCTCCCATTTCAGCTAAGATATTATCTACTCTTCCATCCTGATCCATCCTCTCAGAAATTGCACTTCATGCATGGTAAGCAGAAGCGGTTTTATTGAAGATATTTTATGGTTCTGCTTGTGCATTTCCCACAAATTCATTCCATAGATCCAATAATACACCAAAAGAAAGCTCGCAATAATTCCAGTCAACGCCCTTCAAAGCGTAGATCGCGATCGCTCTAGTCATATTACCCCAATCAGAATATGCATCTGAACAATACCCAGGCAACAATTGTTCGATTCTCTGATCAAATTGGTATTTTATTGCATTTCTCTCGAATACCGACAAATCATCCCCTTCATCCCACAAAAATACAGGAGGTCGACGGGTCATGATTCTCGGAACAATCATGACACCATCCCAATCAATAACCCCAGTGATTTGAACATCTTGCTCATTCTTCCCCATCATGATATTTCTCGGCCAAAAATCAGGATGCCAAAGAACAGCTGGCTCGGGATTCTGTTCCAACCCACGAGTTAATTCAAGTTCATTCAATCCATAAGCCATTGAAATAAGAATATCGTGTCTCTCCTCTGCCAGTGGTCTTCTCGCATCATTCAACTGCGAAGTCAAGATATCGATGAGAAAATGTCCGATCTTCGAATCTTGTCTCATGAACGAATTCGCAGTCCAGGGCATTGGCGAAAAACCAAATGAGATCGGAAATAAGGGGGAGAGCTTGGATCGGAACACTTTGCTGGCATTCGTGTTGAGATTGCGAGAGTGCCGTAGTTTTCGAATCGAAAACTTTCCATGTGTTTAATACACCCCGCGACTTCGTAAGCGAAGTTAATTCGCGTTTGGATCGGATCGCGCAAGCCACCAAGTGGTGTGTATAGGGTCTGCAAATCTTGACCAGCGATAAGTGGTTGGATGACATAAGGACATCCGAGCATATTCAAACATGTTGCGTCCCAGGCGTAGACGGCAGGGATGAGTGGTGATGCTTTCCCCATGACGTGATGAAATGTAGCCATTTCTAGAATTCCTGGATCAATGTAGTCGTGAAGGTTCCATCGTAATTTTCCGATTCGCAGAATGCAAAGAAATTGGTGAAGGTGGTGTAGCGTGTGTGGGGCTGGCGAACACTGCGTAGCAGAGAATTATGGTATTGTTCCCCCCCTTCTTTCACAGAACACCCCAAGATGCGGATTGGAAAGCTGATGGAGCGACAGAATCTGTTGAGGATCTCTGTAATTGTGGAATTTGTTGCGCCGGGTGGAGGGAAGGAATTATTGGTCAATGCTAAAGGTTGGGGGTATTGAGATTCCATTTTCTTTGATTTAACTGTTGTGAGAATAGTATTTCGAGGAAGATGGTTAGAATAATATTGTTTAGGTGGTGAAAGTCAAGGACTTTCGTGGTAAGGTGAGTTCTTTGGTTGGAAGAAGAAAGTCAAGATGTGATAAAGTAGATTTCCCTCGAAGATAATGGTGCATATATAATAAGTATACCCATTGGATACGCTTCATACGGTCTTCACTACTATGTCGATAGACAGTATCCAACTAGCCACATCATCGCCGTAGTGATTAGTTGAATACGGTTGTCAATCGAAGGGACTGTTTTCGGTTTTTAGAACAGGACAGAATGGACTTCACAGTAGTGAGATCTTTACCTATGGACTTACGGCTCTTGTAATTTCTAAGATACTTTGAATAGTTTCTCATTACGGTTTGAAAGTGTCGTCTACTGAGATAGCGTATAGGTGCACTTTTCTCGCTTACGGGTTTAGACGAACTAGGCAGTGAACATTCTCCACGAAGCCTAGTCTATGATAATTCCAACCTGCAAATGGATCACTTGATTGACAAAAAAAGCTCTGTGTTGCTGTATAATGTACTGGAGCTCGATTATGGCGAAGTTTAGCTAATTCCGCACAGCACCGTAGTTCTTAATCGTACAAAGGTGTCGTATTAAATGATATTGCTTGGTACGGTTTCTTTGAGCGACACATGTTGCCACCGTTATAAGAATTTGATTACGTTTTCTATCATTTCATATCGAAAAATTGTGTATAATGATGGCCAAAATGAAGGTAGTGTTGTGATTCAGGTTGACGTTAATAATGTGCTAGACATGACATGTTACTTTCCATGTAGCTTGATAGTATATGATTTCTCTACATGCACACTTATGTGCCTCACCAAATTTTATATTTGCCATAATATTATTCCAATTGGAGGTACAACTTCGACTTATCTGAGAAAGCCAATCACTCAACGTCAAATTGAACATCATACAACTATACCATTATATAATTCAAAGTCTCATACGGAACTTGATTTCAGATAAGATTAATAGTGTAACCCAAAAGGAGGTGCGATATTTATTTTTGATATATCCACTAGCCTATTTGACCCGACAGTGCAATATGACATCACAATCATTCACAACATAATCTACCTATCAATTTGCCGATCCACGAAAAGAGACATTGCACTTATTCCCTCAAACCACGCACATCTCTATTACGTCACATACTCCAGATCCCTCGCTACAGGCTCAATACGCGTCCACGCATCTGTCAGAACCTCAAAAGGAAGTTCATACCATTCAAAATCCACACCAAACAACGCATAAAATCCCAACGCCCTAACAATCCTCGACATCTCTCCATAAGCATCTTCGCACCATCCCGGTAGCCCCTCTTCTATCGTCTCATCGACGCAGGTATATTTCCATGCACACTTGTCTGTCTCGCGTACGTGAGGGCCTTCTCCCCACAAGAAATAAGAAGGACATCTAGTCATGATACGAGGCAGTGCCATGGCGCCTTCCCATCCTAGTACAGCTTCTAGTTGTAAGATTCCATTCGGGTGGGGTCGTCATTCGATACGCCGGATATAGCTTCACAGTAATGAGGCGTTGCAGTCATCATGATTTTGCTGGGCTGGAAATTCGGATGCCAAAGAACAGAGGGCTCGGGTCTATGTGCAGCACGATAAATATCATTGTTGTCCAAAACCTTGATACATAAAGCTATATGGCGAATCTTCCGGTATTTAACTTCCTGATCCGGATTTCTTGTCTGAGATTCCGACATAAATAGTAATTCGAGTATAAAGTCGATGGCCCTTCGAATTAGCTCTCATGGATAAAGTATTCGTGAATGGTTTGACAACCAATCCAATTCGATCCTTGACTCTATCAGGAAAGGAACTCTGGAGAGCCATTCCCTGAACGGGCTGAAAAGTACCGTAACACTCAAATTGATACGCCAATTCTTGTCTCTCAATATACATGGATATCATAGATGCAGCTTCTCCGTAATCACTAGCTGGCTTGTAATAGCCGTATGTGAGATAATTGTTGTACAACACACGATATTTTTCCAGTAAAGTGTACCCTTCCACTTGTTTTCTGCATGATGTACGGAGATCTGATGGCGTTTCCGCATCTAGCATCATAAGCGTATAGTTTGGGAACTTCAAAGTGCTTGGCGGAGATGAAATCGAAAGCGGCGGCTCTCTGGATCCAAAGGTCGGGGATTGCTCCTTGTGTTTTGGGGGTCCGCAAGACATAGTGTTTGCAAGGAGCCATGCGACTACCGGGGGGAAGATTGGTTAGAATCCATGTAAATAATATGATATTGTGCTTGCTACCGCTTTTTATTCCGGAGATTCGGATGATACCTGGGGGGAGTCCGATTTCGTTGCATAGATGAGTTACCATTGCTTTGACTGCCGAGATATCTTTCGGCGGAAAGGCATTTGGTAAGGGAGAGGGGAGTTGAGATGCCATTTTTGTGTTACTGGGTTGTTGTGAAAGGTATATGTTGAAGGCTGTCTGGTTGAAAGGGATTGAGAAAGTTCAATAGATCAATGCCTTTATATGGACATACTGCCGTGTTGTAAAAACACAATCGTATCAAGTAAAGCTAACTATGAGACTAGTGCCAAAGTGTATTTGAACAAGAAAAATTGTCAATCGAGTAGACTTCAAAAGACAGGGTGGTATAGAAGGCATCTTACGACGTCTAATACAAGAAAATTCATTGAAACAATCTAAAATAAGCAACTTAGTCGTAAAGGAGGGGTGCAGTGAAAACGAACTATGTTCTAGTTCTACATGGGAAAGACCTTGATATACGACACGATTTTTGCGGAGAAGATTTGTGACCTATGCATTCACTTATTAGCACCCAATAGATTTATATCAATCTTCAGACAACATTTAAGATGATCCTTGAAGAAAAAACCCAGAACCATCATGATCTTACATTGTTTCTCTCATGTACAAAGCTCATTTCCACCTAGAATTAGCAAAGCAACCTAAACTACCTAGGTAATCCTACTTTTCTCTTTCTTTTACTATAATTCACTCTTCATAATTCACACTTGATTATAATCCCAACAAAGATAATATCGATGAAACTGGCTTTCATATCATGATGTTAGCCTGAAGAGGAAAATAAACTCGCCGTCTTTTAGAACTAATTCTATGAGGTGATGGTGGTAGATTGTCTATGAGTTACTAAACCAACAGTTATCATTGGTCAGATAAACGAACTGGCTATTTTATAGCGTGAGTGTATTATGTCTAGTGATCTAATCTTCTCAATCGAACATATGTAATTTTCTAGCCTTTTCTGACTTATTACATTCTTTGTTTACCTAAGTTAATAGATAAATCAATGAATATTTACAATAGTATAGATATGATTGTAAAATTTATAATACAAGTCATTTTTTACACACAACGAGCATTCTCTCGATGAACCAAGGGACTATTACATGAATTTTGTTTCGCTGATATTTTCTAATCCTTCATTATTCAGAATTTTTACAGGAAAAAACGAATCTTCAGGCCGTTGCTGTCTTTCTTATACAGAAATGAAGTTAATTATATAATAGGGAAACGCAAGTCTGGTGCAAAAAATCTTTCGCATTCCAGTAGAAATTCGTTAAAGGAGATCTCTCCATAATGCTTCCACTGGGGGCCATATAACGAATACATGCCCATTGCTCGAATGAGAACTCGAGGTCTCGAGTATGCATCTTCTGTGTACCCAGGAACTAATTGCTCTATAGTGTCATCGAAGCTTGTTTGACCGCATCAGCCTGTGGCTGTGTAAGAACGCCTGGCTGGTTCCAGAGAAAGGAAGGAGGCTCTCTTGTCATGATACGCGGTAGCTTACTGTAGATTAGTTACCCAGTCTTTGTCGTGAAAAACGAGGAATCACTTACAGCTAAAGCATTGTCCCAATCGATAAACACCTGACAGACGAATATCACTCCCAAGTCGTACAATCAAGATATTTCTTGGATGAAAGTCTGGATGCCAAAGTGTCGAATCTTGAGCGCTGAGCATCCTTTTTCTCGCCATTTCTACCCATACACATCCGAGTTAATACCTTGATATCTCAGCCCCAATGTCCTTAGATCAATATGTCTATGCAACTCTTTAGTCATCAACTCACGGATGAAGTTGCTAAAGCCGAATTTTGGAATTTTTTGACCCGCTATGTCCAGTTCGTCCACGGCAAGATCGTAGAGAGTATTTGGGTCTTCTATGTTCCGGATTTCTGTATCTGCTACATTTCTAATGACACCGTAGCCTGGAATTTTAACACTTTCCTTCTTAGCAATGAAATGTGCTATTTCACGCGCAAGTTGACAATATTGCAATACAAAGGGATACAAAGGTGGTGATCGTTGTATGGTTTGATAAAGTCCTTGTAGTGCGGTCCCAAATATCATTTGCATGACAACATATGGACAAGAATAGCATTCTCAAAACCGGAGTCATGGAAAAGGATATCAGGGATAGGTAAACCGACTCCATGAACTCCGAAATGATATGTCAATGCTACAAGAGTATTGATTGGCTGATAGATTGGATATTGGCGTTTTGGGAAAAAGAAATATATCGAGGGGTCCGTATGCAGTACTGTTGGAGCGCATAAATGGAGTTGTCTGGCATGTGAATACCACAAAGCAGTTATTTTTGCCCTCTTTGGATTGGCAACATGTAGCGGTTTGTGGGTGACCATGTTCCAAGAGTAGAGCATTGAGCAATCTTCCACAATCGGTACTCAGTGGAGACGGAAATGGAATCATTTTGCCAATCTGTTCAGGCGGTGGGTCCTCCGGGTTTCTGTCATAGAATGGTGCGTGTACCAGGGGGAGTAACTCGACGTGTGGATTGTGGGCAAGTGGAAGATTCATGTTGACAGTTTCTAAACGCTGTGTATCTGTGTTCATGTAGACTACATCAGACACATCTATTTCTTTTTCCAGAACCTTGGTTTTGATACTATCCAAGAAGAGTCGATAAGGGAAACAATGTAATCTTACAAGATATTTCGAAAAGCTCATATATTTGAGGTGATGTATAGTCAAACACTTTGTTGATGTAGTCACAAGAATAAAGGATGTTTGATCTCCAAGTTTGCAAGATAATCCATAAAACATTGAGGTTCAAGAATGTTTAGGAAGATTAGAATTGGAATCAACCAATCACCGTAGATTATTCATCATGGTATAGATTATCAAGTAGAAGGTCCAATGGTGCATTATTGCTTGATTCAGTTATTGTGTAATTGGGTGGAGAAAGTGCTCTCAGGTCAAGCAGTCAAAAGCTTAGTCAGGCACATTTACACGGAACTGACGGACTGTCATCAATATCAACGAGCTTGGGATACTGGGAGGATAATGAAGACAAATTTAATACGGGAAGGATATTTCGGGGAGAGATGCGTATGCCCTCTCAGGTATCACTCAATAAAATGTTATTCTAAGCAAAATTTCCACTTCATCCAGAATATTGAAAAAATTGTCTTGTCTACATTATTCATACTCAATAACCTATCTTGCAAGAAAAGAACTCCAGTTCAAAAAAATCATCTAAGAAATTTATCTCATCTATATGAGGGGTATATCAAAATAGCCGCAACTACATCGCCAATTCCCATACGGGACAAATTTCTGCTCCCCATCAAACCCATCCATCCCCGTTGCGAATTCAATCCCCAATATAATCGCAGTATAATCCACAATCTCTCCCAATTCTTAATGCTTCCTCATGAAATCCTCCCAATAGCGTACCAAACCATCAAAAGACAACTCAAGGTAATGCTGAAAGTTTACCCCAAAGACTGCGTACATGCAGAGAGCTCTAATTGCTTTTTTGATCGGCAGACGCGCGTCGTTTTTATATCCTGGACGCAGCATCTCCATATGATCGTAAAAGGCAGCTGCAACTGCGTCGCTTTCTTCTCGTTTTAAAGGGCTCTCTGACATGGACCAGAGCCAGCTGGGAGGTTTTCTGGTTACAATGCGAGGAAACTATGAGAATGTTAGTGTACAGGCTCAAGAAGAGGTCAGAATATGTGTGAGCGAAAAAAATTACTTACTACTGCCCTGGATTCGTCCCAACCGATGACTCCAGTGAGTATGACATGATTTTTAGAAGTCTTAGCCATAATGTTCCTCGGGTAGAAGTCTGCATGCCATAACGCTGCCGGCTCGTCTGTCAACAGCCCCTTTTCTGCCATCTGCGAGCCTATCTGTCTGAGCTTCTGAATTTTCCAAACTTCAACTGACGACACCTTGAGAAAGATATCAGAAGTTCTCTTCATTTGAGCATTTAAATTATTATTGACCCAATTAGGAAAATTCAGCTCCGAGGGAATCCTAATTCCGTCGATGGAATCTCGACTTAGCTGGAAATCACCTTCCACTTTGTTACCCTTAAGTGGCATATCAACGGGAGCGACGAAAATTCCGTATCCCGGAAGTTCAGTCTTGTCCATCGCAGCCACAAAGTCAGCAACACATCTCGCGTATTGGCAACGACGATCCACGCGGGCGTTCCCGCGGATTCTTGAGTTCCAATTTTTTATACAGCCTGTAATACTCATATTCCAATGTCTCCCCCTTGATTCGTTCTAAAAGTGTATATGGACAATGTATGCTATTTTGATAGGTACAATCCCATGCTAGAACGAGTGGAATGGGTAGATGCATTTTCTGGCGGAAGTATTGAGTGAGAGATACTTCCGATTTCATGCAGTGATCGGCGGGAGGGTTGCCTTTGAAATAATTTACTAGAGTAGTGCGTAATACGCAGGCGACTCGTTGGTCTTCAGTCGTTGCTTTGAGAGGAAGACAAGTGAATAAGATGGCGGGGTATTATTGCCACCGACAAATTTGTCCAATTTCTCGACCTTGTGGGCGAAATTGATGTCGATGCAAAGTTGTTCGATCATTTTTTCTGGTGTCTTCATGGACTTTGGTGGAAATGAGTTCTTTGACCCATTTTTAAGTCCCATGAGGGTAGGGGCTGCGGATGCCATATTTGAATATTTTTAAATTAAAGACTTCGTGTATTCTATGTGAGAGAAAGAAGGAAGTATTAGTTCATATAATGTCGAGTAATGACTGAGTAAATTGTTAAATAAATAGATCTTGAATAGTACTGTACAGATATTGACAACCAATGTGCTGAAAACAACGTAACAACCGTACCATTTAAGTCCTCGAGTCGTTTAGACTCGATTATTTAATACAGCTGTGTGCTTCTAGTGAAATCCTGTTACGGCTCACAATGACTGGGTGGTGTTGTTACTTGGTACTTACTAATCACTTATTCTGTTTCGCTCTAATTTCGAAAGAAGGGAGAGGAAAAAGCTTTGAGAGGATCAAGGACATGCTATTGTATCTTGTCCGGTCCGTTCGCACTGGGGAAATTGCAGAGACGAATATCGAAAAAAGGTAAAACAGCACATTTTGGAAGTTGGACACAACAGTTCAACTCAAGATATCCTCATCTTCAAAAAAAATGGAGTTTGATATATTCACGAAGATCCTGTTAATAGGAGGTGATATCTTATGATTTGGAGAACATCCTTATAGACTAGCGACTTCGCGCTCACTGTTTCATCTCAAATGCATACATAGTACCTCCGAGAATGAAACGAAAATTAAAAGCATACAGAGAAGACGTGGTAGAGGCCAAAATCACATCATCCAGAAAAACACATTCAATAACTGTCAAATGCACGGAACTCGAATTCCGCTGTCTAAATTGTGAGCAATAACGATGCAAAACAGTAGGTACTCTTCGGAAACGACTGTCTGAACAGACGTTTTGATATCAACGCCCTATATATAGATCCAAGAAACTTCCCATAAATATTTGAAATCTGGAAAAGACCGGATATCCGCAAAGCACCACAGCACCAGAACTTTTCCCTAAATCCAACATCCCTAAATATAAACGCTTGACTCCCTTTGAAAGAGTATATGATATCGGGCAACCAAGAAAAAAAAATCACGGCTTCTTATCTTTTCCGGCGGATCGACTTCTAAACAAACCCCTCGGAAACGGTGGTACATGAACTGTGGCAGTCTTAACTTTATCCCTAAGACTGGCTTTCTTCCCAACACCCATGTTAGATTGAATCTCAACTCCATTAATATCGCCATTAGATGGCTGACTTTCATATGAGCTCTGTCTACCACGAATACTCTCTGGTTGCTCGGAGGATCTATCCCTACCCCACCATTTAATGAGTGTTCTCTTTTCTTCGTCTGTCAATGGTTTCACTTGGTTATTGGTGAAATATCCTTGAGTAACGCTTGATGAACGGACTGATTCCCATTCCATTAAGTCTTGTTGACAGTGACGATTTCCTTCTGTTGAAGTTGTCGTGTTTTCCATTGAGCTTGAAGATGGGCGAAGTAGAGTAGAGGAGGGCTCTATAACATGGTTCTGTTCTGGAATAATCACATTGTGAGTCCAATCTAGCTGCTGGTCTGAAGGTACTATTGAAGGTTGATTGAATGTGGAGAACTGTTTATCCTCGAGTCGGAATGTCTCCATTTGCAAGGTATTCGACATCGTGATGGGTTGGTCGATTGGCATGAGATCATTGAATGTAGAGCCAGCGGGGTCAAACTGCTCATTTCGGGGCCACCAATGATAAGTTCCGTAATTAGGAATATCGAAATTCATCTCATCATATCCGGTGAGATAATTCACATCTGAACTTGTCGATAGTACTGAGCCGATGGAGTCATGTGATCTCGAACTATATTCGAGAGAAGGTGTAGGAAAATCCAATGACTGAGCGCTCGTGTGGAAACCCTCTAATTTGTAAAGCGTTGCGGGATCAACAAAAGAAGAGGTGGTCCACCTAGGCGATGGATCTAAAGAAGGTGATGAGTTCAAAGTGAGTGTCTCAGGATCTATCGTGGAGTTTATTTGACTGGCAGTTTCGGGGTCAGGAATGAAGGAAGAATGTCGTTTATCTAGAGTCAATTGCGCCTCTACTTTGGCGGCCATGTTTTCTAAACTACTCAGCCGTTGTTTATTCCTTGAACATCGTTCCGGATCACACTATCGATTGTTAGTGGGGCGTCTGATAACTGAAACTGATGTCCGAGTACCTTCATTTTCTGTCTTCTATGCCTAGCACATGCAAATCCTCTATTAGCGGCAACCTTCACTCGCTCTTCCTTGTCGTATCGTCTCTTCTTGATTTTAGGACTGAATTCCTTCATATCGGCATCCCACGTTAAGAATTGAATGGTTCTGCTTTCTGGCATCGAGATACGATGAGACGCCAATGATTTAGATTTGACATGTGATGATGATTCTGGTACTTTCACGTTTGGTCGCGTGACCTGATCTTCTGTATTCACATGTAATGGCAACCCATCAAGACCCATATTCTCAGAGATCCCATTGGTCTTGGAGTCCTCCGACGCTGTCTTTTGTCGTTCATTTCGAAAAAGAAGAAGAAACTTCCTAGTGGCAGCTTGCATTTTGCTTCCAAGGTCCTTTTCCAGAGGAAAATGATAACTTAAGGCGATAGATAGTTCTTTGGACCCCGCTGGAGGATCCCATCGTAAGGTATGATCATCATTATAGCTTATTACATACTGAGGTAGATCAAAGATTGAAGATTCCCTCTGAGCTCGATTGCGTTCTTGCTCATGGGGTAAGGAGGAGTCCATAATCCGGGGTGCATCTCAATGCAAATGCAGTAGATCGTACCGGGGGATTCGATTTGAGAATCCACTGTACGCGGCTGATGCAGGTACGTACAGTACTGACACTATCACTACCAGTAGCGATGGAGAGTGGAATTTACCCTTGGAAATGGCGGTAAAGAAAAGTTGATGTAGAAATACTTGGGACAACGCGAAATCATCCAGTGGAAGTAACTGAGATCAGATAAATGAGACAAAACTACCGGTAGAGATCATCCAAACGGTTGTGGAGTGAGAGAAATGAAACAAAACGAAGAAATCCCAAAATCTTACTCGTAGATGTTCTTCTCCTTCATCCCATATTTCTGTACCATGTTACTCCGAGGTTGCCTTGGCTTTGACCGTGTCCTAATACGGATAGGATCAGGGATAAAGTCCGATGTGGCGCAGGTGGACGGTCATGTGATCTCTGAAAGCCACTTCGTCTAATCTTATTCTATCCTCCTTCATATGACACTCAATCAACACACCACTACCATTCTGATATGCGTACATCTAGTTAGTCTTCTACTGACTTTTGGTGGAAATCTTGGTTACAACAATGATCCTTCTGATCCTGATGACTTTTGTAGCAAATGTGGCCTTGCGGGAAGAGACACAATGGAGTTGGTTCACACCCTTTCCTATTGATTCAGAGGGCACGCATTTTGTACGCGATGAGGTAGATGCTGGACGTGCTATTCTAAAAAGCTTTATGGTGGGGTGGGAAAACTTTGATGTGAGTGGACATATATGTGCTTTTGTTTATTAACAGGTGGGAGCATCTGATTTCCAGAGAAATGAAGTATGTGTAAAGACACTACTGTGAGATTGCGCAACGATATTAACAGGCTAACAGTGTAGAAGGAAATAAAGCAACTGCGAGCAATTTTTGCTATGGTAGTTAGGAATTAAGTGTGAAACCCGCTTACCAGTCTCATGGCGAGTCTCCAAGTGGATCCATTATCTCTGCAACAACGATAGTTAACGAATTCTGTAAGATGATAGAGTGGAGCTTATAGACATTGTTTGTTGTTACGGGTCTAGGTTCCAAGGGATGGAGCTGTGCATGAAGGGTTGAGGTCAAGTGGCCCCTCAGTTTCGAAAATTCTTATTTTCAACCGAAATCATCGCTCATGCCTACGTATAGTAAGTGGGCTTAGGTCCCCAATGTTCGTTTGCACTTCCCCAAATTGTTTATTCCTATTATTGTAAAATAAAAAGTTATCTACTAGGCCCTTAAGGCCTAGTCGTCCTATATAGTCTTAGACTGAAGGTGGACGTAAATTCAATCAATCAATCAATCAATCAATCAATCATCGCTCATGCCTGCGTTTGATGCCCGTCTACTAAGCAGAACCACGAGGGGCCTTGTGCAAACATACCGGAGATCTTGTAATACCATAAGTACTGGATCATCTCTCATGTTCTCGACATCAAGACATTTTTCATTTTTTCCTAGAACCCCGCTGCGTAGTGCTATAGTAAGTGCGAATGAATAGTAGGCGAACTCCTGTTGTTCTGGTATAGTCCATGTCACTCGGACTTGTCACCGTCTCTTGTCTTCTTGAATACAAGCGTCAGGACGAATATGAGGCCCTTTTATATTTACATCGGATTGTACCCTACAAAACTAATAGTTTAGTTTGTGTTTGTCATCTTCAAACTTCTGTAGTCTTGCCAATGATAATTTTTCTATGGTAAAATTTGAATTTATGTTCGAGACATTCTGGCGATGATGATTGTGGATTTTATAATGGTCAATCGATTGATAAGATGAATGAGGGATGCGCCAATGCCAGCCACGGTAGGGGAGGGGAGCTATGCAGCGTAGTGAAGAATGGCTTTTGTAGAATACTAGTATATATACAAAATAGTTGCAGTCTCCCATTCGGCGTGTCTCGATTGAATTTGACTAAAGCAATGGCCAGTGCCGCAGCAATCCGGGGGTGTATTCACGAGAGTAATCATCAAGTTACTTTTCCCATTTATTCTGATTTATTAGATCTATTCACCTTGAGATTGTATCTTTATAGGATCATTTCAAACACTTCACTCATCAATATGAACCATATTAATACTTACTCCGAATAGTAATTTGTTTTTGCTCCTTGCAACACTTTCGACAAGAAAATATCGAATAGGTGACGATGAGGGTCGCGCTTAGTGAAGAAGATATACCCTGGGAAAAATGATCTTCAGATCCACATCTCATCTGGCTGAACTCTAACTTTCCTGTCTGAAATTGATATAAAGCTGGCATTGATTCTGTTCTCTGCACCAAAGAAAGCTTGGACAATCCATGTTATTTTTCCCACGCGGGTTAGATGCTTATTCTGAAAGGAAAAATGCCGCATCGTTCTTAAGAGTTTTGAGTTTGTTAAAGTAAAGTGGAACCGCATTCAGCTCTTGAATGTTGATTGTGGCGTTCGCATTGGGGGCTAACAACCTGCTCGAACTACTCGGCGTGGAACTGACCATTCGAATTGGCTAGCGTACACAGCACTGCATGCGTTACTCAGGCATACCTTGATTTCGTCGCCCAAGTTCGCTGGTTTGTGTGTCTGAAGCTCATCTAACAAAATGTGTTCTATATTGTCCAGAATATCTACCTACCTTATGATGCAATGTCCATTTCTAAAAGTTATATATATGAAAAGTACAAGAGTAATTCGCTTTATATGAATATCGACTAAGACCAAGCTGGTAAAGTTACTTTCAGCGGCACTATTTTCTCGGGCGCTGCTCTCAGTATGAATGCGGACACAGCATATACTGACACGATATGGTTGCTGACGCTAAAGCAAATGGCGAGCGACTTCCTCGCCATGCCCGGGAACAAAATTATAGACATCACCACAATCGACACGAAATGCACTGATAACCTTGAGTATATGGAAGCGCTTACTGGAGCAGGAAGTGGAATTACCGTCTTAAGTGCACCAGATATCGAAGAGAAGGAAAACGAGCCAATCCAAGCTGAGGAAGAGAGGAAAGCCAGTACAACTTCCAACAGTCCAAACTCGAACGCTATCACAAATGTTGTGAACGAATTCAAACTGACTTTGCAGCGGTTCAAATGTCACCGTAAACAAATTGATTCACTCACTGGCCCTAGAAATGAGATCTATTGGGGCCTTGCGGCTGGATCCGATGTTCGGGACAAGGAAAGTTTTAGAACTGGAAAATACGGAGAAATTGTGAATGGAAGTGAACGCACAATGGGTCAGACCTTCTTCAACGGTGCTGTAAAAGAGCATTTTGCAGGACATATCGAGTGCTGGGAGCAAGACGATAGTGGTGATAGCTTTTACAATAGAATGGTGCAGACTTTAAAAGATATTTCCGACTTTGCGATTGATGCAGCTGTCAAAGCTAATTCCGCAGATGATTGGGGAGATGAGCACGGATCGACAGGAAAGGCCGCAGCAATACTTGCGTTGGTTGGAATTTGTGGGAGACTAGTTGCAGCTCTTCTTGAGTGGTTAACGAACGACGACGACTTGGTCATTCGACGAGAAATTGCCTTTACAAAGCCAACATTAATTGCTTGGAGTAAACGGACCAATAGCGAGTTATCATTCATGTTTGATGGGGCCCACCAAGGAAAGCATGAATTGTGGATCAAGTGTGAAGCATTTCCTCACTCAACTGGTATTCTGAGAGGCTGGAAAGTAATTTCTGGGACTAGATGGGATGCGCCAGTCGTCGCTGGTAGCGCCTTGGACGGTATTTCATTGGCAAACTTCAACAATGAGTTATGCGGTGTTTTCCTAGAATTGAATGGCGTATTTCACTGGACTAAATACGATGGCAGTAATCGAAAATGGTCGTCGCCTATTCCTATTGTGAATGGTACGATTCGTTCTGGGTCTTGCCCTACTGTTGCCACACATGGAGACCGCTTATATTGCATGTATCGCCACCACGAAAGTGATAAATTATATTGCATATCTGCTGCGACTGGAAGCAATTGGACTTCTCCAGCTCTCGTAGCAGGAACGACAGGCGCGACTATTGATGGCCCAGCTCTTTGTGGACACAATGACCGCCTTATTGCCGTGCACCGAGGAGTGCATGATAATCTTTGGTATAACACTTCAAGCGACGGTGAGACTTGGACAACCCCAACAGAAATATCTTCCCGATATAGAACAAACAAATCACCAGCTTTATTCGTCTACAATAATATCGTGCACTGTTTTATACGTCTACCCAGTTCCAAATCACTTGGTGTCTCCAAGTATAATGGTAATTCATGGAGTGACTTTGAGGATCTTCGAGGCGCAGTGGATTCTGCTCCTCAAGTGGGATTGTCATCAGACGGTAAGATGATTGTTGGTTACACAACGGGAAGAGATTATCTTATAAATTTCGATACGTGCGACAAAGATGGCAACTGGTCTTATACTTCGTGGTGGTCCAATGTCTATATCTCTGGCTCACCGGGTATGATTAATTGGGATGGAGTATTATGGATTTATGCTGGCTTGGCAACATTGTAAATTCGACAGTCTTACCAGGTGATTAAGCAAATGGCGAGGATGGTAATTATATAGATTGGCGAGACGATCGTCTGTCTATTTTAAGATCACTTTTATACTCTGTTTCGATGTTCATCAATTCAATAGTTCCATGGTCTCAAAGCTCCTTGGTCTCAGTTAAAAATCCGGCTGCTTGGTTTGAGGAGAGTTTCATGAAGGTTTCCTCAAAAAATCTACTCTCAATAAATCTTGCTATCTCTCCCTTCTAATATACTTAGATGCATCTATATGCCTTGAGCTTGCTCATCTAGTTTTCGCTTTCATAATTTTTGAAATATATAAGATTAGAGATCACCTGATTACGTCACGATATTGAATTTGAAATCTACAGTACAGCTATAGCTAGTATTAATATTATATGTTAGAAATGTATCCTGCTCCATTAAATATTATGAAATGATAACTCGTATTATCTAACTCAATCTCCTTTATCGTTTAAAATTCTGGATCACAGTTATCAACTTCACTCTCCCATCATTTTGTATTCCAAGTTTCCATAAAATCGTTTCAATAAATGCCCGACGTCTAATAGAATCACCTTCTCTACTCCGTAAGAACTCCCAATGTAAAGACTCCCTCACTTCAAACTGCACCGCAAATCTCAAATCTCTCGCTTTTCTTTCTAGAATTTCTGCCAATCCATTTACTTAGTTTCCCTTCTAACTCTAACTTCGAATTAGTATTTATCAACTCCTTGTGCTCGACAACTAATCTTAGCATCGAGTTCCGAGTTCCTCAAATCAGCTAGTAAGAACTCCACTCAAAATTGTTCCTAGAGTGGAAGCTATGATTGAAAATGAGAGGAACATATGTAAGATCCGTTAGAGTCAGAGAATTATCACCAAGTCTACCTAGCTAGGTGTGTCAAAATTTTATATTCCATCTTTAAAAGTGGACGGAAGGCAGTGATACAACAAGATGACTGATATGCCTACATAATTAGGATCTTTGGAAAGAGATATAAATAGCACTAGGTACGTGTGGTAACTGTAAAGAGAATCATATTCATATGTTTGAACGTTGTTGATGGGATAGTTGTAATCCTAGATTTCAACCGGCAGAAATGACAGATCTTGTCCTTTCTAGGCGACTCGCGCCCACAAAGTCACACTTGAAGCTAGTTGAACCGACGGCGATACCGAAGCACTCGTTAGACTCACGCACAGGTGGATTGGTCGCTTTAACTCCCTCAAATAGTGTGCACCCCCACCTACCAGTGTTGAAGAGAAAGAAAGTACTTGTATTCCTGAGGAACTATCGTGATATTTACATACTATTTAGATCAATGTGTTGGAATGTTGTTCGATAAAATAATAAGCAGCTGTGCCACTTATTAATCATTTGTGTATGAGTGAATGAGGAGCTGCGGCTTGAGACCAAAGAGATATAGAGAATAAGATGTAAGATTCTCCAGCTGATCCAATTCTTCTGTACATTCTGTTCAAGCTACGCTCACCGTTCTTCTTCACTAATATGTGACCGGGGAATATTTGTACATTTATGGATCGCGAAGAGCATACTTAACTTGATACTAAGAGAGACCAAATGCCAGCGAACCTAGAGAATAATTAGAAACACACAAGTCAACGACTCACGTGGATGCTTCACACGTGATTTACATGGGAACGTGGATAGGTGATGGGTGATGGGTGATGTAAATGGGGATGACAATGGAGACGCGGGTGGAGAAAATGAGTGGCTTGGGCGAGGGACGTTTTATTGGCGGAGGGGAGAAAAGGAGAAGAAGTTCAAATACACCAAATTCGAAATTTGTCTTTCCCCGTTCAGAATGAAAACAACTGGAACACCAACTCGCCAAAATTCAAGCCCCTTTCAACAACATCTCTAATTCGAAATCGAATAAGAATACAAAACGTCATTTCTATTGTGATGAGAAATTTCAAAGATTTCATTGTAAGCTTAAAGGCATCTCTGTACTAATATTCTTTCCAAACGCTTGTAGAGTGATGGGAATGTCGTTTTAGTATCTCGGTATTTTCGTTCTAGTGGGCTCCTTTATCGAGTTCGTTCCGAAAGTTACAAGACAACTTCATCGCTCTCTCCTCATATCTATACCGCTTCCTTTTTTAAAAAACAGGCCGGAAATATTGCGGAATAATGCCAATTCTGTGCGGATCGGATGTTGCGGAATACTACCCTCAAATCATTATCTTACGCAATAAAATAGAAAACCTAATTGGTGAATCCACTCAAACCCCATAAATAATGCTTATTTGATCCACTACAATGGGAACCGAACTTTGATAATTGCTGATTGTTGATTATGAGAACCCGAAAATTCATTCTTTATCTGATCCATCCTTCTCGTTCAATTGCTCTAGAATTGTTGTTGGAGTTTCCAATAGGAGTTAGGATGAACATGTCTCGGTACCGTATCTCAAAATGTCTACATTCGTAAGTATATACATATGCAGAGTTCAAACCTTAAGCATCTAATTGCGGTGGAATCACTATCTCCGCTGCAGAAAAGTTCCTATTCCGCTATTATCCCGATACTATTTGCATATTACTCGGGTTGCGTCACATCACCAACGGGATATAGATAACCGGGACGTACAACTTTTTGATATCTTTGGACTTCTTCATTTATCGTGTGAACAAAAAGGAAAGGGCGGCCGAAGTTCGAATATTTAAGACACCTAATTCGGATCAAAAGATATTTCCCGGTATTCATTTTCTTGCTACTCTTGCGGCTACCTGGAAATTTGCCATGGAAACTGCATTATCACCGTCTTCCTCCTCCGAAATGATGGCAGGTCACGAGTCTCTCAATATCGAGAAGACAAAGTCTAGACCCGAGTACGCCCATCCGAATACTCTCGTTCCTATTCAAAGTAAAATCGAACATTTCAATTCTCGCCCTCGAGAATATACTTTTATCGCAATAATATGTATGGCTCAACTTATGACGCAAGCCGCACTGGGTCAAGCTATTGCTCCGCTGCATATTATTGGATCTAGTTTTGGAGTTACAAATCCTGGACAGTTGAGTATGCTTCTCTATGTTCCGTTTGATATCTGAATCGTAACTGATATTTCGTGTTAAAGGTTGGTTTGCTGCCGCGTACTCCCTGACGGTCGGTACATTTATTCTTATTGCAGGACGTCTAGGAGATCTCTATGGCCACAAATTGCTCTTTATAAGTGGTTTCTTTTGGTTCGCACTCTGGTCACTACTAGCTGGTTTTAGCGCTTACTCGGATGCAATCTTTTTCGATGTTGCTCGTGCCCTTCAAGGAATTGGACCGGCTTTTCTTTTGCCGAATGCTTTAGCCATCCTTGCTCGTATCTATGAGCCAGGAAGGAAGAAGGAGATGATTTTTAGTCTTTTCGGTGCAACAGCTCCAACGGGCTTTACTCTAGGTGCAACTTTCTCAAGTATATTTGCGGAATTCGTTTGGTGGCCTTGGGCCTACTGGGTCGCTGCTATGGTATGCGTCCTACTCGCTGTAGTAGGCATTATTGTCATTCCTCACACACCTCCTCCACAATTTGATCGTTCAGTTAGCATGTTCAAGCGAGCTGATGGTCTTGGGGCCTTGACTGGAGTTGCAGGATTGGTTTTGGTTAACTTTTCATGGAATCAAGGACCAGTAATTGGCTGGACCACCGTTTATGTCTATGTTATTCTCATTATTGGGGCTCTTGTGCTCGGACTGTTCGCGTTCATCGAATCTCGTGCGGCCTACCCATTGGTACCCTTTGGTGCGTTCAATTCTCACACTGGTTATACACTTGCATGTATTGCAGGTGGATGGGCTAGTTTTGGAATCTGGATCTTTTACTTCTGGCAATTATTGGAGGAAATCAGGGGAATCAGTCCACTTCTCGCATCAGCAATGGTCTCGCCTACAACCATTAGTGGACTTTGTGCATCATTGACTACAGGCAAGATTCTTAGCAAGGTTCCAGCCAGTACTGTGATGATGATTGCTATGACTGGTTTTCTCATTGGATCAATTCTGATGGCCACGGTTCCTATCGGTCAAACATATTGGGCACAGACATTCGTTGCATGTCTTGTAACTCCTTGGGGAATGTAAGTTCAAACATCATTTTCTCTCTGAACCATTGGATAACAAATGCTAATAAAATCAGGGATATGTCATTCCCAGCAGCAACGATTCTCCTGAGCAATTCCATGCATAAAGATCATCAAGGACTTGCCGCTTCTCTTGTCAACACTGTTGTCAATTACTCAATCTCAATCGGTTTAGGTATTGCCGGAACTGTAGAAGTTCAGATCAACAACGGCGGAAAGAACCCAAAAGATCTTTTGAAAGGATATCGTGGAGCTCAGTATGTAGGGATTGGACTTGCGGGACTGGGCGTGGCTTGTTCGATTTTGTTTTCGTTGTCGGAGAGGACGAAGAGAGCCAAGGATAGGAAGGAGGAGGGGCGGATAGAGGAACCTTGATTTGTTATGAAGCGATTGATTTGTATAGATACCCTACAGTTTTTTTTATATAGCTGTTGTTGCTTGAGTAGTAGTTGATCGATCATATTCTTTCACGAAATAAGAAACATAAAAAGACATAATGATACTTCGTTTATCAACAACATTTTGATGATCTCCAAGGTAGTGGAGTCGGATTGATAATTGAGTAGCACTAACCCCACATCAGTTAGCCAAGATCTAACTCCGACCTGAAAAGTTACTTTTTATCCAACCTCAACTTCCCCCTTCATCATCACACATTGAATCAAGATGTATCCATCGAATAATTCGTCCGCTTCAATACAGCTTGTATATACTTCATTACGAGTAAAATTGAAGAGCGATTTCTCGGCTTTTGAGTAATGTCAGAACCAATTGATGGGTCATCGATACAACCCCCACGCATATCATCATCGGCGCCGTTATCGTCGACGCAATCGAGCAATCCGGACCGTCCGACTCATGGACGTCAACGAGCGAGGAGAGCTTGTCTTCCATGTCGGCAACGGAAGAGAAAATGTGATGTAGAATTCCCCTGTTCAATGTGCACTCGATATGGATACAATTGTCGATACTCCGATGAACATAATCCGCCTAATTCCAATCTTTCACCTATACGGACAATTCTCCCAGGTCATAATGAAATGAGGCATGAATTTTCACCATCGACAACAAATCATACTCCTAGACGTCACAGTATAACAAATGCTCAATCTCCATCTACATCATCACAGGATGTTGTTGATCGCGGTATTCTTGATCCTTTGAGATCACGATACATGAGTCAGCATTCTGCAGTCGCTTTCCCCAGAAGTCTTGGTGTGGAATTTCAATCTGCAAATCCACCACCTCTTCATTCTTTTGCTTGGAATTGTGGGATCAGAGCCGAGGAAGCTGCATCTGCTCATACCAATTTGACTCAATTGGTTTCTTTTGATGATTTTAAACGATTTTCGGACATATATGCGGCAACAGTTCATGGACCATTTGGATTCCTAGATTGGCCATATTTTATGAAACGGTGCAATGATTATTGGACTAACCATGGGAGAGATTTGACGTTTGGTGCTGTTGTTGGTGGGGTGGTAGCCTTGGGATCATTTTTTGCATTTCGACTTGGTCATCCTCGGGAGTTGGAAATTGTGCAGCATGTGAAAACGGTGCTGGAGGATCCAACATTCAGTCGCCATCCTTCGATTGATCAAATAAATGCATGGATTCTACGGACCCTGTATCTTCGATCAACTACCAGACCTCATGTTTCGTGGCTTGCTAGCTGTGTCACTTTGCATTTAGCTGAAGCTACAGGTTTACACCAAGAAGTCCACTCGGTACTATTGACTACGGAAGGAGATACCCAAGCAAGGCGGATGGATCAAGCAGAGATAGAAAGAGCCAGGAAAACTTTCTGGATGGCTTGGTCTGTTCATACGATTATTTCGTATGAATATGGAAGATCTGCGGTCATTCTCAATAGTATAACCTGCAAGCCACTCAAGGATACCATGGGCGACAGTACAATTTTTCACATCAAAATTGCTCAACTAATCCCTCGCGATAACATGGTCGTCAGTTCGATAACACATAAAGAGGAACTAATAAACGGTTTGAAAGAATTGGCACAGATACCAGACGTACATCCATTTCTTTCACTCTCTAAAGCAGATGTATGTTTTTGTTTCTATAGAAGATTGAGGCTTATGAAACAAGGACTGGAGAAAGAAGCAATCCAATCTATCATAGATATAGGGAATAAAGGTGCCGAGGCAGCAAATACATTTGCCCGTAATGGTCATCCTTGGTGGAATATCCTCTCAACCACATTCCAGTACTTTTGTGTCCTCCTCGCCATCGATACCTCGGAAAGTCTATCAAACGTTTCTTGGGTCCTGAACATCTTTGAGAATATCGTAAGAATAGTAGATACGCATTTAGCACACGAAGCATTCGACACTGCAAAGGTTTTGCTCAGAGACAGTATGGCGAAAAAGAAGAGGGACTTAGGATTCTTGGAAAACGCGGATGGACAGCATGGTCCGGAAGTAGAAAGACAGGTCGATATTAATTGGGATGCATTGTTGGACCCAACATTCCCGGACGCGCTGATGAGTGAGGACTTTTCGATTTATAATAGTTGATGTGAAGATTTCGACTGAAGGTGGGACCTGGGACGTGGGTGGCGTTGGCTGGGGATTCTCAACATTCGAGGATACGTATACGCGTGGTACAGCTCTGGCATGTCGATCCTGCGGACGCAGATGCATTAGTATATATACACATGTGGATTATCTAGCAGGATAATGGGCTTGGGAATCAGCCTTAGTTCCTGGTTTGGAAGAATTGAATACATTGTTACATGTATGTCGAGTGTGACTTCAATACTAGAGTGAATGGGTACAATCAATCCAAAAGAGGAGCTTACTGGAATTGATCCTGCCTTGGTATGCCTTACAGGTCTGAAACTTACACGGGGGTCCTCGAAAAACAGGGTTTTACTCCAAGGTGCCTAGGTATCTATTGTAAGTTCTTTTTTTCAGATCTCAAGTTCTAAATCTAGTAGACTAATGCAAAGACCCAGATTCACCCTCTCAAGGCTTCTTGGGAGTGAAAATTCTTGAAGTTGGAGTTGAAGTTATAAGCTTTTACAAATCCGGACATAGCCTGATCATTTGGGACAAAACAAGTCCCCCTATGATTCACTCTAAAATCTCGCGAATTCACTGCTTTCTCCTGAGAAATCACACCATTCCATCAGGTTTTGTTCAACAAAAGATTTTATTTGTCTTCTATTACGTTTAATTGTGTCATGCTATTCTTTTCTAGTACTAGTTTGATTGAATTTTCAAAGGTCATTTGGTACTGGAGTACTTCCGTATTGATTGCAAATTATCTTGGTTTACAAGGCAATACTTAATACTTCGCAATTTCCAGTCTTCCAGTTTTCCATTCTCCCACCCTACCCCAACAAGCTTTTGTCAGTTGTTTATTCGCAGTGGTATCTACCTTACCATTACCTTACATGTACCTTCTACTTCTCAAAAACTCCTACACGCAGTTCAGATTTTCAAAATTAATTTCCTACACTTTGATTTCTGCTACTTGCTGTCTATTCTTCAATCTACCCCACCTTGTCTGCCTTTAGCAGCAATCCTCCATCAATTCTCCAAGCCTTCGTTCAATCTGCCATCCTCTGAACACTGCTTTTGGGGGTTGGGAGCCAGTCTGGGGCTGCCAGGCTATATTCTTCTTCGTTGACAATCCTTTTCGCACGAATTGCGACAATCATTGAACGCGTCGTCGAATAGTTAATCTGGGACTACCAGTTAACTTCATCCTCTTCCTTCTTGTACCACTCTTCGTGGAAAACTTTGACGTCGTCTCTGAGATTTGGTTTAGCTGCTAGGTAAGTTGTTGTTCGTTCAATGATCATCCTCTTGAGATACTTTGCGGCATCCTTCTAACGTCTTTATGAAATAGTTGGCTTGGAGCTATTCGTCAATCCTTCTCCTTTTTCGTTAAAAACCTTGCCGCAATCGTCGACGTTGTCCTTGAGTGTTTGTCTGGAGTCACCAATAACCTCTCTCCTCCTTCGATAAAGCCTTACGGTAAGTCATTCTCGACACTTAGTTTGGAGTTATGAATTAATTTTGTCCTCGTTCAGCAATCATCCTCTCACGATACTTCGCGACATCCTTGATCATTGTCGGTTATCTAGCCCGTAGCTACTACTTGACCTTTTGTTCATTCAATAACTATCTTATTACGAAGTGTCGCAGCGACCTTCGAACGTCGTTCTTGAGTTAATCTCGATTTATTGGTTAGTCTTCTCTTGTTTAATAATCCTCCTCCCGCAGAACCTCGAAGCAGATCAATTTTCTCCAAACAGTCTATCACAGCATATCATAATTCTTTCTGAAACTTTCTGTGCGATTATCTGACTTATCTATTTCAACAGTATACAAGTAGATAGCATAGCTACATTTCGTGTACTTCCAACATCCTCCCACTCGCTCCTCCTACGACATCCTCGAATTCATCTAACTCTATTCCGTCATTCCTTGCTCCCCATTGCGCGATGACTGCGATTACGATCACCTATACCTAAACCTATATTATTCAACTGTCTATAAGTGATCCTTACCGGAACAAAGCTTAATCAACCACGATGTCGAACCAGCCGGAGAAGGAAGACTCTTCTTTCCAACATCTACCCCCACTCCCCCAACTACCACAATGGGGTATACTGTCGCCTGACAGTTCTCCCCCGGACTCAATTGGCCGCCCTTTAAGTTTCCCTACATCTTCTGTGAGAGACGGCCCTCCTGTTGCTCGTGATCGTTCTTCAGCCTCTAGTATTAATGCGCCTAATATGGTGGTCTCTGATCGTGCTGAACTTGATCGTGGTCGCTCAGCCTCTGGACTATTACGGGCAGGAGGTTCTTTTCGGGGTCGTCCACCCAATCCACAAGATCCGTATGATATGAACAGATACCACGCTATTCATAACAATGCTCGCACATCTTACCCCGTCAATAGCGATACCACCATGAACAATGGTCCTGCCAGCAATCTTCCTCCATATAACTCTGACTTCGTAAACGGTGCCCGCGGTCGCAGTCCTTATCACACTCGCCGTCTCCCGCTCTTTGAACGGAGACCAGTTTCTGTGACGGATCAAACTTACCCTTCCCCAGCCGTACGACGCCAACTAATTCCTCCTCCTTCTCTTGCTCCTGGTACAGCTAGTGCAGCTGTTCCAGCTCCAGCTCCAGCTTCTCCAACTGCTCGAGCTGCTCCAGTCACTCGATCTACTCGATTTACTGGATCTCGAGCCAGAGAACAACCCGACTCGATTGCTAACCCCCAATCTACTCGATCCACTCGATCCACTCGCTCTCAAGCCAAAGAACAATCCACATCGAGTGCCGCTGATTCTCGGGGCGAACAAAATTCCGCCTCGGCTGCCGTACCAGAATGGCGTGGTCGAGCTGAATACGGCATCGACCGTCGCTCAATGACAGAGTTAGAACTCTCACAGATCCGTCCTGGTTATGGCAGTCTCATCCCCCGCAAGGATTGTTTCAAAAGCGCTTCTCCGGGTGACAAGAAAGACATCGAGTGCGGCATCACAGAATCGGAACTTCTTTGGAATCTCAGAGGAGAGAGAGGTGCTAAGCAACGTAGATATTTTAACAAATATTCTAAGGTAACGTTGGAAGACAGACTGAGAGCGACTGCAAGACAGAATGCAATTCTTGATAAGGCGAGGAAGAAGGGGATACTTGAGGGCTATCCGGCTACACTGCCCATAGATTCCCGGTTCCCGATTGTGGCGCCTGGTCAAGCTGTTGCCCCTATTGTTGCCCCCGTTGTTGCCCCCGTTGTTGCCCCCGTTGTTGCCCCCGTTGTTGCCCCTGATGTTGCTGGCAATGCTGCAGAGTCCACTGAGGATCAAGAAATGGCCGATGACGATTGGGTTCCGCCTCCTGGTGGTCTTTATAGTGACGACGACGATTAAGACGAGGATAAGGATATGGAGGAGCAATAGAGTGCCAGAGTGCCTTCCTATTTGTACGGAGTGGAGACCCGGGCTGATCTCTGGCAATTAGCATGGCGATGCGCACATTGTACAATAGTTACTTGGCTTGTTATGCCAATGATATTACCGGGAAACTTAAGCAGCTGCTCTCGTTAGTTCTCCCTCGTTTGAAAGGACTCGAGGTAGCGACGAGCTAAAGGGTTGGGTATGGGGTATGGGGTATGGGGATAGAGATAAAGTAGGGGTACTGAGTATAGCTTGTGCTATTTAGTATGATAATGTGGATGGGAGAGCTTTAGGCTGTGAGCAATACAATTGAATGATTTTCTTACTGATGACTTGTTATTGAACTCATTTTGAACCTTAGTTTGCTTGATTGTACGGTTTCTGTGTATTTACCGTGTGTTATGCTGTATATACTACACTTTTGGCCTTTTTTTCCTTGTAAATTATGTCTATTCAACTCATTCTCCCGCTTTCTTGTCTTGAGTCCCAATTAGTCAGCACATCTACTCATACTCGTGATACCTCGTGAAAATCACGTGGTATAGTCACGCTCGTATTTAGCACGTGAGATTCACGTGAGATAATGACGTAAATATAAATTTTCGAGTCATTGTCCGGTGAGAGTTTAGTCTATAAGTCTATCTCAATAGATAGAACTGAACAATAGTGATATTTAACTAGTTGAAACGAAGTAATAGCGTCTATCTACTCTTGATTTTATGTACGATTAGCTCTTTTCTTTTTGTGTGAACAAGGGAATTCACTTCAAAAGAATGACTTCAATATAATGGCTACTGTATCAAAGGTATTTAGGCGAATGCGAAGGAGACTAGCTCTTTCAGTAGTGTTTATATAAGGCCTACTATTTCCCCTCATTAACTAGCTCTTTAAACAGAATACAATACAGACATTTAGGGGCCTACTAATAATAATGGGAATTATGTTTCCCGTATTCCTAATCTCATTATTGAACTAATATTAATTAATAATATCACAAATTATTTAACTTACTTATTCGAAATACCTTCTCATTTTTACTTCTTTTATTTCCCGTTATTAGCATTATGATATCCTGGGAAGCGCTAGCACTAGCTTTAAGCAAGCTGGCAAAAAACCCGATGCTGGCAAGAAACCTGTTCCATTCGATTAATCTACCAGCATAGGAGGATTTATTGACACAACAACTGATAATACTAATCCTCTATAATAGGAGTTCAAGACTTCTTTCTATGAAGATATAATTAGTACTTCTCCTTATCCTTCTGCTCCTTTCAATCTTTATATTTCTAACAAAGCAGTAGTTGAAGAAAGAAAAACTCAGGAAACTACTAAGGATTTGAAGTTCAAAGGAGAATTTCAGAACTATTCCTTTCTAAAAGATCTCAATAAAGCTAGATAGTTCTATAAAAGATATATATTCAAGATGGGGATAGAGTATCAGATTGATGGATACTTTCTTTTTCGAATAGCTGTGTATTTGAATATAAGGATCACTAATGCATCTCTTCAGAATACAGTTATATTCAATTTCGAACTCATTCGATAAGCCCTACTTAGGAGTGTTGATAAGTTGATATTATATAACTTTTACAAGATCTTACAACATTATAGAATTTATATCAATATAAATGCAAATCTCGATAATACTTTAATAAAAGCATTTCTCCGTAAAGAATATCACAATTAAACTACAGATCAGCTTTTGGAATATTAGATTAATGAGGTACAACCATTTGTATCTACGAAATGAGCCTACCTTCCTATCGGACTCAGTCCAAAACCACAAATCGAACTCCCTGCCGATCTTCCTACCGAACCTCTAAACAGTAACCCAGCTGGTCACCTAACTTTACCAAATACCAGCAAAGCTATTCCACCTGCTCTTCTCGAGGCACATAGACCCCCTCCATTTTATGGCTTTGGGGATATACGAAATACTCCTGCAAGATTATCTGATGATAATGATGATCCGGATAATGATAATAATTGGGATAGCGGTCAAGATGGTAATAATGGTGGTAGAGGTGGTGGTAGAGGTGGTAGGGATAGGGATTATGATATTGATCCCGAAATAACTTTGCCAAATTCCGGCAAAGTTATATCATCTCCTTCAGGAACAGCAATTATGTGTATAACGAATCCAGAGGAACCTCTCTTGGATTTATTCAAGAACAACCAGATGCCTATACCAATATCTTTTCTGCGAGTAGTTATACCTCAGATTCAAGCTTATATACAAGATTACTACCCCGAATGTTTTGCTGCTGATCCTAAGAATCCTATTATATATAAGAAATCCAGGAAGAAAGAGATTAATAATCAACATCATAGCATTACATCAATCCTACAAGCAGAGGGAGATCGTTGAAGTGATCTGGATTGATGGTCCGACTAATCCGACCGATGCAATGATAAAAGGAAAGCCATATCAAGCTCTTGCTGATCTGATCAATACAAATAAAATCGATATCAAGACAATGAAGTGGATGGAACAGGATTAAAGAAAGGGATTGGTTCTGCTAATAAAAAGTCAGGGACTTTAACCAGCAGATAGAGGATTTTATGATTTTACGAATTTCTTTTCAGCCATTGTATTTGAAGCCATAAAAGAGAGTTCCGAGTATATGAATAAGGGAATTCACTTCAAAAGAATAACTTCAATATAATGGCTACTGTATCAAAGGTATTTAGACGAATGCGAAGGAGACTAGCTCTTTCAGTAGTGCCTATATAAGGCCTACTACTTCCCCTCATTAGCTAGCTCTTTAGACAGAATACAATACAGACATTTAGGGGCCTACTAATGATAGTGGGAACCACGTCTCCCGTATTCCTGATCTCATTATTGAACCAACACTTTTCTAATCTAGTCTTATTCTATCGAAATTCTTATCTTAAGGAGATAAGAATAGTAAATTAATTAATCATAATACGATTTCTATAGTTCGTTAATTCGTAGCTAGTACGAAATTGACTCTTTCTCTTCTACTAATACTATATAATAGTAACTCTCTCTCGTTTTGATTACAGAAGAGAAGAGAGGAGAAGATTGAAAAGATTCTTAATTAATATACTCTTCTTATTAGCGAATATTCGGGATAAAAGTCTTAAGAGATGATTTTGTATTTTTATTGATGTTAGATAGATAGCTGAGGTGTCACGAAGTGACACTAGCCCTTTCTGTCCTGTCCTGTCCTGTCCTGCTATATATGTGAGAGTAAGGTAGAACTTTTAGTTCTACCTCCTAGTTTTTTATGCTTTTGTGGTATAGCGGTAAAGCTTCTGAATGCTTTCAGAGGTGGTTCTGTGATATTAAATAGAACTACCCTTAATTATAAATAGAGTTATGTAGGAAGCCCACTTATAGCTTACAAACCTTCATTGGTTTGGAGACTAGCATATATAAATCCTGTCTGCCTGAATGCTTGAGACATTAGTCCTAAAACCTTCTAGTTAAATAATAATATAAAAACCATACTTTAAGGAGGGGAGTAATATCACGAAGTAACATTAGCTTTTTCTATCCTATCCTATCCTGTCCTGCTATATATATAAAAACAAGATAAAACTTCTAGTTTTATTTTTTAGTCTTTTATACTTTTGTGGTATAGCGGTAAAGCTTCTGAATACTCACAGAGGTGGTCCCGTGACATGAGGTATAAGAGAGTTGAGTAGTTATTCTTTTAATTTAGATTAGATTATTAGAGAGCTTTGGATTGAGGTTTTAGGAATTAGATGAGGGGTTAATAAATAGAGAGGATTTAGAATTTAGAATATATTAAACTGAGTTTGATTAGATTAGAGAGTTGAATTAGTGATTTATTATAGAGATAATAGTAAATAATTATGATTTGCTGTCACGGAATTCACCGTATAGTGTAACCCTACGGTATTAATCCTAGTACTCCTCCGGAGTACTCATTCCCATGATTACTAAAACTATTTCACTCAGTTCATTTGTGTACCCTATATACCTAATTAGGCGACTCCATCGCCTGATCAGGGTATATAAAGCAGAGAAAGCAGGCTAAACGCATTAGGCGTATTACGTAATCATCTTGATTGATATAGTCAACTGGATTGTATATAGCTTTTAATAGAATACGCATTATACTTAATATCAATAAATCTACCTATTCTATATATCTTTTCTAATAACCTATACAGGGATTCAAAATACATTCAATATCTTATCTCCATTCTCTTTATAATTAAGCCTTTTAATTAAGAATATTCAGAAACCCTTTTTACCTCTAAGTTTGTTATATAATAGTACTTATATAATAATCAATATATTAGTATCAAAAGAGCTTTCAAAAGAGTTATAGATATTATACAATCTCGTTGATTTGAAGGACTATTATATAGTTATGGAAATTCAGTATTTGAATAACTTTTTCTAATTCTTCTTTTTACTTCTCAAATATCTCTCTTTTCAGAAATATTCTATATATTTATTTTTACAACACCTTTCGTAAGGATTCAGTATTATTTTATTATCAGAATACAAATTTCTTTTGATTTTTAAGATACCTTTTTAATATTATTCTTGATTTTGGAAATCTGCAATACAGATTTTCAATTTCACCCTAAACAATACTAGTACTATTCTCTTCAAACAAATCCAAACTATTATTCGATTCTTTTGATATTACCTTCATTTTAATCCCGAAAAACAAAACCTTTATCTCCCATTCGCTTAGTAATTACTAAAGGATATACGAAACCCTTTTGAAAATCTAATCCTATTATTTATCAAACTACGACTTCGACTTTCTATCCTTCAAATTCAAGAAATCCTTCCGATATACTATCCGCCAAATCCTTCTATAATATCGAATAACTTTATTACCTTAATAGTTTGTACTGAATGGATTAAAGTCAAGGTTAATAATATATTATCTTTTTCAAAAAAAAGAATATTATTAAGTTATAGATTCGGAAAACCAAGTAAGCTATATATCTTGCTATTG